TTTTACAGTATTTAATAATTGTTCATACTGCGCTGTAATTTTGTTGGTTCCATGAGCCTCAAACAACATCTCCCCTAAAAACTAAGTGTTATTGTGTTGAAATACTCAGTGATGGGTTTAAACTGTGTAAAGTCTGTAGGGAGTGGTTGGGTTAAAGGTGCTTATTCATGCTGAAACTTGACATTGTGAAATTACTGTTTTGCTCCCTGAAGTATAAGCTCATAATAATTGGTCTATAGACAGGAAAACTATATTTAACTTATTTTGATGTGTTATGTACTTAATATAATGCCTGTCCTGTTTGTGGCTCCTATTTTTGTGCAAGTGACCAAATGTTTACAAGCCTCTTTAGTCGTGCAGATGTTACAGTATGCAACTGAAGCACAGGCTGTAATTTAGCCATTTAGAATTTTTACTTAAAAACCATAATCAGGTTCATTTTGTTTCTGACCTAGTGCACTATTTTCCTTTATATTTAAAGCATTGTCTGGCTCTCCAAAGGGTTCTCAGAGTGTTTAGGAACTGTGTTTAGGTGCTGGTATTTACAGATTCAGTATTTTAACACATTCACATTTTTTGTCCCGCCTGTTTGCATTTACATTTCAGTTTTGCTCTGCGTCACTTGGTACTATCAAGCGAGTTGTGCGTTTATGGATCCATGCTGTGTTTTTTGTCTGTCAAATGGGAAATTTGAACTATTTTGTGCTTTAAAAACTTGCTTACAGACTGTTGCATAAAGACTAAAATTACCATAAAGATGTGAGTTTATGCTTGACTAACTGGTTTAGTCCTTATTAATCAACAGCACTATCCTAAAACCTATTTGATATTTCTATTTGGAAACCTATTTGAAAGGGAACCATGGCAGATTAGTTTTCTGGATTGGCCTACAAATTGATGTTGTGGCAATACAGCGCTGTTGGATTTAGAGTCACATTTAAAAGTGGCCCGAATTGGATGTGTAAAAATTTGATAATTAAAAATCTGGGGTCGTTAAGATTTTTTAAAAATGTTTTTGAAATACGTCTCTTCTGCTCACCAAGGCTGCATTCATTTAATTAGAGATGCAGTAAACCCGTAATATTGTGAAATATTATTACAATTAAAAATAATAATTAAAAAAATTCTATAAAATGCGATTTATTCCTGTGATCAAAGCTGAATTTTCAGCATCATTACTCCAGTCTTCAGTGTCACATGATCCTTCAGAAATCATTCTAATATGCTGATTTGCTGCTCAAGAAACATATATTATTATTATCAATGTTAAAAACAGTTGTGCTGCTTCATATTTTTGTGGAAATGGTGATACGTTTTACAATTTTTACAATTATTTGATGAATAGAGAGTTCAAAAGAACAGCATTTATTTGAAATCGAAACCTTTTGTAACATTATAAATGTCTTTACTCTCACTTTTGATCAGTTTAATGCATCCCTGCTAAATAAAAGTATTTATTTTTCCAAAATAAATTTAGAAAATAAATCTTTCTTTTTCCATGCATGCAACCAGTTTTGGTTGACAGTATAAATGCAGCTTGATTGAGGACTTGGCTGAAAAGACTCCAACGTCCAGCCCACACGAGCTTCGCCTACTCGTCCCTGCATATAATCTTGCTCTGCAAACACATGGTCACGACTCATAATGCATCCTATGACAAACAAACTACAAGCATACTAGGTGAAACCCACTTCCCTTTTCAGTTCGGAGCCATGGAGAAACTCCTGTGCCATTGTTCCCGACTCCAGGTGCCTCTGCCAACCACGTGAACACGATGCCAATCCAAACACATTCAGCCTCAGAGAAAGACAGGCAGAGCTAATGACTGTGTTGAGGCCTGAAGCGATAAGTCACATCAAGATTCTCAGTGCTGGCAATAAACCGTGGAAAATCCTTGTTTCCGTACACTGTGAAATAACTATTATCAGCGTGCTACTGTGTGAAAGGTTCTTGATGCTTTTGCATGCTAATATTAACGGTAAAAAAAGAGGTTGTATCTATAAATTCATCCCTTTTTTCAAGAACAGTATTGCTTTTTGCATTTTGATGTTGGTCAATATATATATATATATATATATATATATATATGAATGATCTTTCTGTAATTTTAGTTTCATATTTAGTAATTTTATGTGTCTTTGTCATCATTATTTTATTTATTTATTATTTATTTTTAAATAGTTTTTTTTTTCAGTACTAAAAATTCTTAATACAACTTGATGCTTAAAACGAAATACTTTAAAACTTATTTCATTTCGTTGCCACGACAAGATATGTAATATTTATATTAAAATTGTATTGCAGCTTTATTTCAGTAAACTAAACAAAGATAGTTTTAGTTACCATTAACAACAATTTTGAATGCTATGTTGCAACAATCTACTGACTATTGCTTTTTGTATTATGATGATGGTCAGTGTTCAACCAGTGTTATTTTACTATCATTTAAATACTATTTTTTTGTATTAGCTATTTATTGAGTTAGCTTTTACTTTTATATTTTCATTACTAATCCACTAATTTGATGTGTTTGACAGTTTTATTTTTATTTTAGTTAGTCATTTTAGTACTTAAAATACTATAAACTACAACTTAAACATATTTCAGTTGGCTGCCAAGGCATTTTTATTTAGTTTAGGTTTTTCAGTTAATATTTATATTTAAATTGTATTGCAGCTTTTTTTACGTTCACAGAAGTGTTTTTTAAATCGTTTTAGTTAACGTTAACTACGCTGATGTTCGCATGCAATTCGGCTGTTGTGTTGCGACTGTTGCGAATCCACTGACATATTGCACATTCCTAATCTGCTTTTCTTTTTTCAATTTTTATGTGCAGTCATATCTTAACTCCCTTTCCCATTCCTGTGCATAAAAGAATTGCCATTTTTCTTTGTTCATTGTGAAGCAATGTGTTTGTTTTCCCATTTGGAGGTCAAGTCATACAAAATTTCAGCAGTATCTGCATCTGTCCACATGGGAAAGATGGACCCTTATAAATCTTGCACACTTATTCCCTTCTTCATTTATTCAGTTTAGTTTGATCAGATGAAGCACGTTTACGATCATGCCAAGATCACTGCACGTGTTTATTTGGTCTCAGAACACGCAACAGTGACACCCACACAAACAATAACACCCACACGGTGCGGCCCGGTCTCACTATGAAAACAGGACTAGTCATAACAGGAGGGGGTTTCTGTACAGCGCAGCGGAGCAGGAGCTCCTCTCCCATTGAAATGCTTCCCCACTGAGATTACATGAAAGCGCTGAGAATGACAGGAAGAGGTTGCTGGTGGCATTCTGGGCGTCACTATGTAATGGCATTGTGAATGTGCTTCTTAGAAAAACAGCTTTGAAGTTAGAAAAATAAATCCTAATGTCTGATCCGCCACAGGTGCTTTGGAAATGCGGCATTTTTTATGTAGTTTTGGCATAAGCAAGGCTACTTTTCAACCTCATATTCACTTTATCAGTTTGTTCTGACACACTGAACTGGAAATATCTCCCACACCGCTTTGCATCATGGTCTGCACAGGTTGAGTTTGGTGGAAGTCATGAAGGATGTGTTCAGGTCACGGGGTAAGTTGGGTGAGGTTTTCAGCTCTCTGCCCAAGCTCTGTTTAAGGCCTGATCGTATCCGTTATCTGCCGCTGACTGGCACCAAACTCGCTAAGTGTGGATCCAGTAGTTGGTTTACATTGCGTGATTCATACGATTCCTGTTTTTAGCATCAAAGAGTTTCCTCCGAGCTCTCTGAGAACGTTCCAAATGACAGCGTGCTGAGAGAGCTTGGGAAGTTCAAAACGTAAACTAGGACTAGTTTCTAATGTTTTGGAAGAACATTCAGTGCAATTTCAAAACTCAAGTGGAATGGTACAGGCATCATAAGTCATGTAGAATTACCTTGTTTTTAAAAATTAGAGCAATTTCATAAGTTACTACAGACTAAAATGTGTGTGTGTGTGTGTGTGTATAAACCTATAGTATAAACACAACACGCACAGGTATATTATTAGAATATTTGTTATTAATGTAATTAATGATAATTTAAAGTTTTTAATATTGTATTCTTTCAATATTAATTTAGAATTTTGTGTTGTATAATTAACTTAATTAACCTATTACATACTTATTTTTTAATTAATAGACACACACACACACACACACACACACATATATGAATAATTGATTGTAACATTTAAGCCAAGCCATATATTTATGTATTTATAAATGATTGAATGAAATTACATTTTATATATATATATCCGGGTCAAAGACGAAAAAGGGTTTTAGAATAAAAACAATAAGTGTAATACTGCTTTAAATTGTTGTTGTTTTTCCTCCAAAAAATGTAAACAAAATAAAAATTCTGTTTAATTTAATTGCAATTTTGTTTTTGTTTTTCTGAGCAAAAAATAAATATCATACATTTTTCCCTGATTTACAGAAGAGACCCACTAAAATGTCATTCAGTGTAACAATCTTGTCAGGCATATTTACAACAAAAATCAATTTATGACATATTAAAAGACTAATTACTTTCACCCCAAATACTAATTAGTTGTAATTTTACATTTTTAAAATTTGCCACTATCTTGGTTTTGCCCATTTGTCAGTAAGAATTTTTTGCTCTTTTAAAACACAATCAAATTTAATATGCTCCCTTATTATTTTATATATTTTAATACGTACACGTCAGAAATTAAGCATGTTGTTTGAATTTTTAAATAAATATTGTGTTACGCTGAATGACAATGTAACATTATTTCAACCAAATTTTGACATTTTATTCTCCAAAAACTTATTTGAAACAATCTTTTAATGAATTTAAGTATAATTAATATAATGTTAATATTATGTATAATTAATTTTATATGAATTAAAATTTTAGTATAATTCATATTTTTGGCGTTCATAATTCTACTGATTCAAACACACTGGGACCACACAACTCTGAACGTTAAGGTTTATGGTTTTTAAAAATCTTTTTCTTTCGTCAGGTTTTGGATGAGATCAGTGAACACGGGATCAGGATCTACCAGCTTCCCGACGCTGATTCGGATGAGGACGAAGAATTCAAGGAACAGACACGTGTCCTAAAGGTCAGAGGTCAAAGTGTTTCAGTTCATTATCGGTCCTGTAGCACTGCCTGACCTCCTGAAGGCTTTGACTGAAGTTGAACGAGCGTGTTTGTGTGCAGGCCAGCATCCCGTTCGCCGTGATCGGCTCCAACCAGCTGATAGAGGTGAAGGGGAAGAAGATCCGCGGACGCCTGTACCCGTGGGGGGTGGTGGAGGTGGAAAACCCCGAGCACAACGACTTCCTCAAACTGCGCACTATGCTAGTGTGAGTACACACACACACATGTTGAGGTGTCTTAACCTCCTGAATATGAGAAATGTGAGAGCAGTCTTAATATTTAAAAGTGCAAAAGGTTTAGGTTTAAGGGTATGTTTAGAGGATAGACAATATCATTAGCTCTCTATATATATATTTTTTTTTTTTAAATAATAGAAGTCAAAGGAAAGACCACAAATATACAAAAACAAACATGAGTGAGTTTTAAGCAACATTGTCATCATCATCATCATCAGTGATGTATTTAGAGGAGCAGTTGTATACAGTATGTTCTCTAATTATCATGATTGTTGTCATTAGACCTTAAAGGGATAGTTCACCCAAAAATGAAAATGTTGTAGGTGTAGGTGACTGTTTCTTCAGTAGAACACAAACAGATTTTTAACTCAAACCGTTGCAGTCTGTCAGTCATATAATGTAAGTGGATGAGAATCACGGCTTTGAGAGTCAAAAAAACATACACAAACAAAACCAAATTAAACCCTGCGGCTCGTGACGATACATTGATGTATAAAGACACGAAACGATCGGTCTGTGCAAGAAACTGAACAGTATTTATATTGTTTTTCACCTCTGATTTACTGCAATGTCCGAACTGTCCCGAGCGCGTTCTCAACAGCCGGTGCGTGACGTGTCTTCTTCTTCTTGCTTTTACGGCAGATCGCAGACTTATAAGTGCATTACCGCCACTTACCTCTCAAATGGACCATTGACACTCCTAATTGAGATTGTAGATAGAGTGTCAATGGTCCATTTGAGAGATAGGTGGCGGTAATGCACTTATAAGTCTGCGATCTGCCGTAAAGCAAGAAGAAGAAAACGCGCCACGCTCCGACTGTTGAGGACGCACTCAGGACAGGACAGTAAATCAGAGGTGAAAAAATTATATAAATACTGTTCAGTTTCTTGCACAGACCAATCGTTTTTCTTCGTTTGTGTTCTACTGAAGAAACAAAGTCACCTACATCTTGGATGCCCTGGGGGTAAGCAGATAAACATCACATTTTCATTTTTGGGTGAACTATCCCTTGATCGCAGACTTATAAGTGCATTACCGCCACTTACCTCTCAAATGGACCATTGACACTCCTAATTGAGATTGTAGATAGAGTGTCAATGGTCCATTTGAGAGATAGGTGGCGGTAATGCACTTATAAGTCTGCGATCTGCCATAAAGCAAGAAGAAGAAAACGCCCCACGCGCCGACTGTTGAGGACGCACTCAGGACAGGACAGTAAATCAGAGGTGAAAAAATTATATAAATACTGTTCAGTTTCTTGCACAGACCAATCGTTTTTCTTCGTTTGTGTTCTACTGAAGAAACAAAGTCACCTACATCTTGGATGCCCTGGGGGTAAGCAGATAAACATCACATTTTCATTTTTGGGTGAACTATCCCTTTAATTAGAGGCTGCTGGGTAATTGTGTTTGTTTCACTGTGTTTATGTGTACGTGTCTTTCATCATGAGGTGTTTCAAAGTCACAATTTTAGAGTTTGTGCGGTAAAGTGTGAAAATATACAGCGTGCAAAATATGCACCAGGTGAAATGTTATATTACAGTGATATAGAAATAAAATACAATAAGAACAGTGATATTGTGAAATATTATTGCAATTTCAAAGAACTGTTTTCTATGTGAATATATTGTAAAATGTAATTTATTTCTGTGATCAAATCAGAATTTTCAGCATCATTACTCCAGTCTTCAGTGTCACATGATCCTTCAGAAATCATTCTAATATGCTGATTTGCTGCTAAGTTATTATCAATTATTAATGGTGCTCAGTTATTAATAATGATTCTCAATGTTGCTGTTTAATATTTTTGTGGAAACCATGTTACTTTTTTAGGATTCTTTGATGAATAGAAAGTTCAAAAGAACAGAATTTATTTGAAATAGAAATCTTTTGTAACATTATAAATGTCTTTACTGTCACTTTTGATCAATTTAATGCATATTTGCTGAATAAAAGTATTCTTTTTTTTTTAAATCACACTTACTCCAAACTTTTGAATAGTAGTATATCACGGTTTCCACAAAAATATGAAGCCAAACAACTGTTTTCGACATTGATAATCTGATAATCAGAAATGTTTCTTGAGCAGCAAATCAGCATATTAGAATGATTTCTGAAGATCATGTGACACTGAAGACTGGAGTAATGATGCTGAAAATACAGCTTTGATCACAGGAATAAATTACATTTTATAATATATTGAAGTAGAAAACAGTTTTTTGAAATTGTAATAATATTTCAGAATATTACTGATTTTACTGTATTTTTTATAAAATAAATGCAGCCTTGGTGAGCAGAAGACACTCAAAAACATTGAAAAATCATAATTATTCCAAGCATTTTACTATATATATATATATATATATAGTGGAAACATAGAGAAACAGTCTATCTGATTTTCCTCTCTTGCAGCTGAGACGCATGCAGCAGATGATCACTCAGATGCAAGCTAAGATGAAGATGAAACCAGGAGACGACTAAGTGTGTGTTTGTGTTTATGTTTCTATCTGTGTGTTGTGGGAACCGGAAGTGGCATCTGACTGGAGGTTACATTATCCTACCCATTTCTAAACACTATTTGCTTGTCCAATCCCTCATGTTTATCAGATTAATGGAACGTAACGTTAATGTCGTCTAATTGATGTAACCAATCACTCACGATCACAGCTCCACCCATATGTCCCAACAGTCCATTATCATGTCATTTAATCTATCGGGTTAGACACTGTTAATAATTTATGGTTTCATTGACAATGTTCAGCATATGTTCATCTGCAGATTGATCAGGGTTTGTGGTCCGCTGGAGACTAGATGTTTTTCTGTGCCAAACACTCTTTTTAAGCTGCTTGTTTTGAACCAGTCATGCATCAGGCTGGCATATGTTTACCAGATCTCCTTGTCAATACTTTATAATACATATATATATATATATATATATATATATATATATTACTTTTACTGCGGATACATGGGTTAAAATAAGAGGACGATGCACTAGTAAATGAACCTGGTCAAGTTTACAGTTTTATCAGATGCACGGGTTCATAATCGTCATGCATTCACAGACATGAGTTAATATCAGAGTTTGCTGGACTGGTTTATGAAAAAGCGGTTGTGTTTAGCACATCACAAAAAGTATCACTAACAAAGAAACAGATGCTCTCATCATAGGCATAGTGTTGATTTGAGCTGCATTGGGCAGCGCTTCCCTCTAGTGGACTACAGAAAAACAACCTGAAGTACTATAGAAGGCACATAAACATGACACTTTGCCTGCATCATGAAAAAACTAAGACTACAATTGGACAATCTCTTGACATCATGTTTGCATTTTGTCAATAATACAATATCTGATCATCTTTTTGAAAGAGAAATCCATTAATAGAGCGGCTCAGCAAATGTATATGTGTTCACCTTTCTTAGAGAGTGTGAATCTAGTAAAGTTACGTTTAATGTGGACGCACTGGTTCAGCTGCCAGTTTGTATTTTGATTCACAGAAATGCCTTAAAACTCCATTTAGAGACATGGTGCACACATTTCTCTTCTTTTATACTTAGGTGTTCGGCCAATCACAATGCACTGGGTCAGCTGGCCAATCAGAGCAGACTGCACTTGTCGGAAGGGGGGAATTTGTAGAAAACGAAGCGTTGAGAGAGGCGGGGCATAGAGGACCTACAATAATGTACAGTATTTGAAAAAGAATGTGTTTTTTGGACATTAAAGCATGTCAACATATTCTGTTACACCAAATACACAAAATAATGATCTTTAAAAAAGCATCATATGACCCCTTAAATTTTTTTACTAAATGTAATCATTTCATTTTTATATAATTTTCAATCAAAAACTGTGTCCGTATCCATTTCAGGCTGCAAAGCAACAAAATGTGATTATTTAAAAGGGAGGTGATTCTTTTCCATACCGGCTGTATGCAACAACAAAAAAACAAAACTGTAGATTTAATGTAATTTAATATAATGAAAAGGGTTTTTTATATTTACCCTTATCTATATTTGTTTTTAATGATTATTTTAGCCAAGCTGATTTTTATCTTTTCACACAATAATGCGTTTTTTGTACCAAAGTAACATTAAGCAGCATTGTTGTAGAGTTCTGTAAGCTGTGTCAATGAATGACGTATTGATGGGCGTGGTTTCGTCTGTGGTGGCCCCGCCCCTCTACGCCTGGGGTCCCCAGCGGGGCTGAACGTGAGACAGACGGAACCCGAGCAGAGCAGAGCCGCAGAGAGCGAGACGGCCTGAAACATGACCACCAACATCCGATATAAGAGCAGAATGGTGAAATCTGGTAATGACACAAACGCTGGCACTGTTTTACTCTGTTTGACTGGATGAGATGCTGATGATTTCTCTCTTCCTGCCTGTGCGTCTTCATCCCTCCCGCATCCCGCACCTGCTTCCCTCATCCGACCTGATGCTGCTGCTGCTGCTGATGCTGATGGTCGCACTCAGAGGACAGTGAGGTGAGAAACGAGAACCTTTACCACATTTCGCAATTTCAGTTCAGTTGTAGAGTTCCCACGAATTCGGTTTACAAACCACCATCGTTTCCACACAGATAAACCGCGCGACGTGAAATCTCACGACCCTCAGTTCTATGTCTTGACAGGGTGTTTTATGCATTTTGTGAATGCAAATCATTTGTGTGTGTTCGTGCTCGTGTTTACGACGTTTAAAATCATCTCTGCTGATTGCGCCCTCGACTGACGCACTTTATTGCTCATCATCTGCGCTGTCATACATTCTAGCCTTGAGCTGTTTTGAGCTCTGATAGAGGATGATAGTGCTGTTTCTCTCTGGAGGTGTTGTCATGGTTACAGGAGCCGGAGTGTGTGAGAGGGGGGCGAGTGAGCAGATGCCTGAAGTGTGAACCCTGAGCTCTGTGTGTGCAAATACATGTTTATAGTATTTGGAGAATATTTGCTGAAAAGAAATAGTGTGTTAAGTCCTCAA